TTCTTTATCTAACACTTATATTTAAATTGTTAATAAACTTGTATATTATAATTTAGTTTTATTTCAAAAGTAATTAATTTTTACTTTCAATTGAATCATTGACCCGATCCATAATCTTAAATGATTATCCTTTAACTACCCCTCATATAAAATTTTGAATCTGCCACTATGCTTAAGGAAAGTGCACTATATCCATATTACACTTGATAATTTTGACAAAGACCAACTAACATAACACGGAATTAAGTGAGATTTGAGTTTTGTATAATCATGTCTATGTAATAATAATGTAAATCCATTTATGACACGAAAGAATTTGTTTCCTATAGAGATTGATCTACTTAACCCGTATATGCTATGTTTATATACATTTAATTAATCATTTTAAAGAATTAACCCACATTACTCAAGGTATCTAACCCTTTTAACCTCATTTATTGAAATAATAATGCATTTTAGCCCAAAGAACTCTAAAACGTATGAACATTTCGTTCTAATCCTTTGCAGAAAAAAGATGTAGTGGTCTCGTTTTGTTCTAGATGTCTTAGATTACTAAAAGTATTATTTAAAACATATTACAATTAGTCTCATTTGACATGAAAGAAAAGATATTGATTTTTTGAAACTATATATTTCTTTCAATAGTAAATAAATACTATGTAGATAAATAAAGAAGCTAATTAACTAATAGAGGCCACCGTCCTTGACTCCAATGCATATTCTTTTTCATTGTTTTATAATAAATAAATTAATGCAGCTCTTCATCGGAGTGATGCTACAGTAAGTCTAACCTTATTGTAAGGTCAATAAACAAAATTTTTAAAAAATAATAAAAACTTGTTTAACAGGTTAACAAGTAAATAATATATATAATTTTTAATTTTATTCATTTTAGGATAACAATGTATATAATTTTTAAATTTATTTAGTTTATTTAAAAGTTATTTAAGTTTTAATTTTATTTTATTTTTAACTTTAAACTATAAGAATATTATTCTTTTTAATATTAAAATTATATTTAATTAATTAATATAATAAAAATTATTATTATCACTTGTTGCGTTAACTCTCACACATTTACATTAAGATTTTAATTTTTTTTATTCCACTTTTATAATATTTTATATTAATTCTTACAACTTTACGTCAAACTTTTTCAATGGTAACTTTTAACCCAATAATATAAATATAAATACTTATTTTTCATTAAAATTAGATTTTTTAACTTAATTAATTTATTACATTAACTCTCATACATTTACGTTAAGATTTAAAATTTAATTATTCCACCTTTATAAGTCTTTACGTGAAGATTTATTTATGACAATTTTGAGCTATAATTATTTTTATTATTATTATTGTTTATTTAAAAATTAAAATTTATATATCGTTAAACATATTTAGCTGAAGAATATATATTTAAATATTTATTTGTCACTAAAATTAGAATTTTTTTTACTCAATTGATTTGTTATGTTAACTCTCACACATTTACATTAAGATTTAAAATTTAATTATTCCAACTTTATAAATTTTTACGTCAACTGTTACAGTTTTACGTCAAGATTTATCTTTATCAATTTTAAGCTATAATTATTTTTATTATTTTTATTTAAAAAATAAAATTTATATATCGTTAAACACTTTTATCCTAGAATATATATTTAAATATTTATTTTTCACTAAAATTAGATTTTTTTTTACTTA